TCACATTTTAAGACATTTTCATTGATCTCTTGTTTCCATTTTTTATACACATTTTTAACAGTATTTTATAAAAAGTTTTTATTATTTTTATTAGTTATTCAAATGCTATACAAATGTTATAATAAATTACTCCACTTTTAGTCCATTTCTTGTCAACTCATTCCTCTGTCTATTCAGTGATTGTATTCATACGAAACAACTGTCTTCGAGATCACCACTGAGTGACAGCAGAAGTGCACAGTTGTCCACCAACTAAGTCATGTTAGGCTGGGTATGACTGGACATTAGTACGGCTCATGAGGGGTCGTTCACACCAATTGCCTCCGAGTCTTACCATAAGACCACCTCAACAGTCACTCACAGATCGCACTCTTCAATATGAGTGCTAAGTTCGGGCGCCTGTAGTTTGATTGTCACCACAGCAAGGAATGGTACTGGATAAGTCTTACACTGAACATACTGTACACCACAAGATATTGCTTCATGGGTCACAGGGTATAGAATCGTATAGATGTGTACTGTTAGTGAACAGTCGGTCTAATAAGGGAGAGGGAGACAAGGTTTGTGTGATTTTGAGGTTTATTTGCCTTATTTTCATTCATATTATGGATAATACAATTAGTGGGACATGCAGTTATCATTTTTAAATACTTTTCTAACTACAGATAATTAAATAATATTTGACTATTTGTGTAAAAGCTGATTACCGTTTTTATTACACAAGTGACCAATTCATGAATCAGTGATTATTTATTCTATATAATCATAGATAGCGCTCAATGTCTAGTGATTTTCATTTTGTAGTCCATATATTCTGTACATTCAAGACAATGAATTTCAATGTAATATAACTACTAAGTAATCATTAAATAGTTGATTAATTTTAATTATATAATAAATTTGCTAGCTTTCATTAATATTATTTCTTAGTATACGAGCAAATTGCAAAAGTAGGCCTAGTTGTTATGCTATCTGTGCAGATTTAGCACGAAGAATTATAGTCAGTTTAACATTTGTAATTAACTTGATTTTATTGACAGTCAAACCATTTTTTAAATTATAACATAATTAAAACAAATTTTATGATTAAATTACATGTGATGTGAAATTTACGGTAAACGAGTGTTTAATTCAATTAAAAATTTAATACAAGTTATTAAATGCCAAAAAAAGTTTAAAATAAGAATTAATGAACAAATTAATTAATTAATTGCATATTATTTATAACTATACAGTGAATTGTGAGTTAATTAATAATAGTTGTAATAGATTAACAATTATTAGAGCAAAACATTTGATGTAATTATTAAATTGATTTTTATTTTTCCCGTAAAACACTTTATTTCTCTCATATATAATACAAACGAGAATTTCATTTCTTTAGCCAATTAATTAAATTTTAAATAAAAATTTTGTTTGTTTTTAATTATTTAAAAACATTATTTATTAATTGATTTTACAGATCAGATACACTCTATTTGAATGTGTGTTTAATGCCTTAAGTTATTAAATATGTTATTAATTTTGTTGTATATCTCTCTCCGAAAGACTAGTTTTTGTGTATTTTATGTAAAACTAAAAGTTTTGTGTCGAGTATTTTAGAAAACAAATTAAATTATGAATTATTAATATTTATTTAGGAATAAAAATATAAATGATATATTAAGACAATTATGACAAATGAGAGAAAAATATTATAAAATTATAATATTATTCAAATTCTTGACAAACATTCCCATAAAGTATATTAAACTCTCACAGATTTAAAGTCTATCTTCATAACAGATTATCAGATATTTATTATCCGACACTTAATATACAATTTATATTAAATGTTTGAAAAGTTCATTTAATTTTGGATTATTTTTAGAGAATCTGTTATACATTATAGTTAAGCGCATATCTGATCAGTATTTTTAATATAATTTATTATTAAACAAATAAAATTACAATTTATTGCTTATATTTATATATAATATAATATTTTTGTCAAATACTAATCATAATTACATTTGTGAAGGAACTGAGCCGTTAGGAGAGTCTCGAGAATTGAGGTCAAGGGGCTCGAGCTTACCATTGGGCATAACACCACCGCCACTGCCGGCACCGGTACTCAACATACCGTTACTATTGGGCACCATTTGTGGCATAAATCTATTGGTTTGCAAATATGGATGAAATTTGAGGTTTTGGTACAAATGGTTGAGTTGTAGTCGTGAGGCGTAAAGCGCCGAAGCCGTGGCCGCCGAGTTGGCCATCGAAGTGGGAAACCCCGGCCCTAACGGTGACATTTGAGCCATACTCGTGGGTATATACGGAGATCCGATGCCACTCATATTGGGCTGTGTTTGAGGTCCATTACCGGGCGGACTGTTTAGCGCCGGGTGTTGTTGAGGTGATTGCGACGGCGGCGCCGAAGAGGTGGGAGGTGTCGACAGAACCGGAAACGACGGACTCATGAAATTGCGGGGAATATTACTGAAGTAAAGGCTGGCCATCGCAGGGTTGGAGGCCATCATCGATGAGAGTTCAGCCAAATTGAGATTATTGATGGATGTGTTGGGAAAGACGGGTTGAGGGCCGGTATTATGCGGCAGTTTCCACGACTGTGAGGCTGACAGTGCCGCCTGACTGGCCATCAGTAAGAAATCGTTTCCACACGGAATCCGTCCCAATGCTAGACATGAAAAACAAATGAAATGATAATTAAATTATGAATTTCTCGGATATCAACTATAGATCAATAAACATGTTATTTATTTAAACTCTAAATCCATTCATTCATAACATGAATGTTTGAATTAAAGCAAAATTCATTGAATAGAATATTATTCAAGAAATAGATGAAACAAATCTAATTAATTCATTGATTTGGGAAATACTAATACTGTTTGATGTGGAATACACTGTGACTATAATATAAGGCATACTAAATATAATTGTGTGTTAATAGCAAACGGGTTTAACTATTGTTATAATTGAATTAAGAGTTTAGAAATGATGGAGTGGTAGTGTGGTAGTGATGTGGTGCGGGAGGGCCGGGCATACCTGCAGCGTTGGCCAGTGCCTGGTGATCGTGTGGGGATAAGTCGGCGCCAATTAGTGCCCGGAATGGCGAGTGACGGAAGGCATGCTCTCGGAGTAGTGTTTCCACAGATTCTCTATGAATAGATAATAACACATAGAAAGTGAACGTCAATATCACTGATAGTCAAAGGGGAGAGAGAGAGAGAGAGAGAGAGAGAGAGAGAGATATTGTGTATACTGTATAAAGTCATTAATCATTGATCCAACTAAAGATACCATACTATACATGCATACCGTACTCTACCCTGGTGCATAGTATTGCTTACCAGTGCTGTTAATTTAATTTATTAGCCATCGCTATACAACTGACAACCAGACAAAACAGAGCAACAAATAATTTATTTAAATTGTTTTTGTGATACTTTAATATCTACTATATCAAAAACATTTAGCTCGTAAACTCTCTCTCTCTCTCTCCCTCCCTCCCTCCCTCGACTGAAATTAGACAAAAGAGTTGAGGAAAGACTGGTTGCCAGACACACACGAAGACTTAAGATGTTGT